CAAAACTTGGAGTCAATTAACTTTTTTCTTACGCCAAACTTAATGAGAGAAAAGTGTATCTCTATTATCGCTCTCATAAGCGTTTGTCGTGTGTTTGTATCTCAATATACCGTACAATAGATTGTGTCCAATAAGTGCAGTAATAATGAACTAAAAGTGATGATCATATTGTGTTTGGATTGCAATACTTCACAGCCATATAGTGTACTGCAGTGGAGAGTGTACTGCAATGTATGTGATAGGAGTGTATAGAGTCTACAGTATAGCATAGAGTAGTGCATCGACTGGTGACTGAGTCCACGCCTGTGCTCTCCATATGACTGACACTCTGTTAATACTGTATTGACTGTTAAATAAAGTGTGTTTTCATTAACGATAACACCGTTTGCTTTCAATCATTTCAATCAATTAATCACACATTCATTGCATTAAACCCTAATATAATCGCCGATATATCGGTGTCGAAGACAACACATCCACGACATCGCAATCGCCGCCACAACAGCTCTTAGCGGACACACTTCCACTGAGCGCCGCCACTGACACGCCTCAAGACATTGTGTCCATTCATATCGACAATCGTTATCTCATTGAATGCATGAATGGTTTGAATTGAATGCCAACGAAGAGTATTAAAGATTGAATTGAAAGCCGGCTTTCATTTCATTCACACAACCCTTTGAATCGATTGTATAGTCTGTGCGGACATCTGATCCGAAATCCGCGCCGAAGATGACTGTCGTTCTGTCAAAGATGAAGCAAATGTCTGAGACGTATGGCGTACCCAACCATTACCTCACGAGGAGTATATCATATGCCATATTCGCCGCTTACTTTGCGCGCATCGGTTACCCGTACGCCAAGACTATCATCTCAAACGTGTCCACTCAGCTCAGGTCAGCGCAGGACAAGATCTCGACCACGAGTCCCGAGAAACTGGTGACAAACACTCAGCCGCCAGATGTGTTGGTGTCGGGTCTGCGCCGGTCGTCATCGATGCCGGAGTCGGCCGCCGGTCGCCATAAGAAGAAGGACTCCTACAGTAATTTTGGTCCAAATCGGGACAACTTCTTCGGTCGCTTCGAAGAGTTTGCGATACGAATGCTGTATAAGTTTCAGGCGATTACTGGCATTAATGTGACATTTATTGTTCAACTCATAAAACTGATCCGAATAATGGTTCCCGGATTACGTACTGTGGAAGTGTCGCTACTAATCCTTCACACGATGTCACTCGTGAGCCGAACCTTTCTGTCCATATATGTGGCCAATTTGGAGGGACATGTCGTCAAATACATCGTACGCCGGGATGTCGTCAACTTCGGATGGATGCTCTCCAAGTGGCTTCTGGTGGCACTTCCGGCCACTTTTGTCAACTCATTGATCCGTTTCCTCGAAAGCCAATTATCGCTGGCGTTTCGCACGCGACTCGTCCGCTACGCCTATGAGTTGTACTTCAAGAATGAGACCTATTATGCGGTTTCCAATCTCGACGGCCGACTCGAGAACGCAGACCACAGTCTCACCGACGATATCACGTCCTTCGCTCAACACTGCGCGCACCTGTACTCACACGTGACCAAACCATTGCTGGACATCTGTGTCATATCGTTCACACTGTTCCGTATGGCCCACTCGATGGGCGCACAGGGAGTGCCCGGACCTCTCATGGCGTCCGTAGTCGTACTCTTCACACACGGAGTGTTGCGCTGGTCTTCGCCTAAGTTCGGCAAATTGGTGGCCGAAGAGGCGCGACGTAAAGGCTTTTTGCGATTCATTCACTCGCGAGTGATCGCAAACGCCGAAGAGATCGCCTTTTATGGCGGCCATCAAAT